GATGATGATGATGATGATGATGATGATGATGATGATGATGATGATGATGATGATGATGATGATGATGATGATGATGATGATGATCAGTTACTTGCTCTGTTGCACCACTCCCACGAATCTAGCAGATACTTATTTATCAGTGTTGGCACCTTATTATGTTTACAGTTTAAACCGTGGTATTTGCGTGCAAAGGACGCACTATGACCCGGTCGCGCGAAATAGGGCAGCAACCAGTAATAACGAAAGTTCAATTTATCCTGCTACCTATAGCAGTGGCGATGGCATTTGTTTTGATTGGATTCACGGGGTCTCACCATTCCATCTCCCCTCACAGAATTTCCACCCAAAATATGCGATTGTTGCTGTCGGAGTCATGTGGATGTTTACTGATACACCAACTGTACGAATTATCCCGACTAAGGGTGAAGTGAGCCTTGTAATCCAAGCCCGCACCTGAACTAAACACCTCGCCCTTGAATATAAATATCCGTAGCATTTGTCTGGCAACTGTTTCTCCAGAGTATGAGTTAATCAACCATCATTAGATTGAATAAATTTCATTAAGCTTCCAGAATTCAGTCTTGTCAATTCAATTGTCTGAGAAGTAAGCAGTGCAATCAGTCAGATTGTTCACATCCCACTTCATTTGGTTCAAAACAAAGCGGATGATTGTTCGGGCCATTCAACAGTAGAGTATATCGGAGGACCGAATGGGACTAACATTTCGATGGCTAGGGTTGAAACCCCACAAGGGTGATGCCGGCCCACCAACACGATAATCTGTCACGTGTCGTTCCAGAATGAATCCATCTCAAGTGAATGCTTGTCGTAGGACTCTAATCGCATGCACTAAAATGGAATTTCTTCTTGCAACTTTTTAATGTTGTGAACGACTGTGGCAGTTGTAGTCCCAGTACTAATTCAGCCATCCGAATTTTTTTCATGTACGTGACGCAAACTCCTTCCGGTTTAGCTGGAAAATGAACTAGAGTCTACCAGGGCAGAACTGGAATCGACTCGAGTCATACAGGCAGAGGAGAATGCAACCCTGAAAATGGCATTAATGCGTGGAGTCTGCGCATTGAATATGGAAACTCTCACACTATTCAATAAGGATGCTCGTGTACACACCGGAGACCCTCCAGTGGGCGCTCGATTACCTGGTTCGGCACCTCCCTGTACGAACTGGGCTGGAACACGAACCTACGATGCTACCAACGTTCAGCAAAATTATATTGCCGCCTTATCCCAACTAACGGGATTGGACAAGAAAAATGACCATTCATTGAGCCTGTCACCAAGCGGTCCTGGAGGTTTTGGAGTTTTCGGTGAACAGCGTACGTATTGAAAACCAAATTTATTCGCAACTGAGTGTATGCCGCTAATTGTTAGTTTGTTATTCCGATTAGCAGTTTTCTTAACTAGACATTAACTATTGAGTTGAACATTCGGCCGCTAATTGTTAATTTGTTATTCCGACTAGCCGTTTTTCTAGACATTAACTATTGAGTTGAACATTCGTGACCATTCACTGCCAAGCTTATCAGCACATTTCACGGGCAAAAAAGGTCAACAAACGTGAAACAGTGTGCTATAGTCAACTGAACACAAATCGCCAGTGTCGATTCGCAAAAGAGAGTGAAAATTATTCCCTAAATTTGCTGGTGCGTTTTGCTTGAGTAGCCTGTGAGAATGGCTGCTTCACATCTTCCTCATCCTGTTCAATATTGATCAGCTAGTCTTCAACGAGGACAGCAGTCAAATGAATCTCGCTGGGTATATTCGTTTTGAGTGCGCGATTACTACCGCCAATTGAAGAGAAAATCCGCAACACTTCTCTCTCATAGCGTGGAATCATGGTAAAAACGTCCGTTCCGATGAGTCCATACTTTTCTACACTGTACCCTCTTTTATGATACAGTTTGTCCCGCATCTTTATCTATTTACGAGTACAGTGGTATCCAAGAGGGGAGCTAAAGGAACCCACATAGGCACGTATCGGTTTTCAAGCACATTTGTTTCGAACGTTTTGAAGTTTTGCGTTTAAGCCCGGAAAACCCCTTCCCATGTTCGACGTTGTGATCTCAATAACGGCATGTTTTGTCTCTTCGACCAGCAAGCTGATATCGAAATTATCTTAATTATTCAGTTCCACAGAAAAAAATGAATATGTGCATGAATGTAAGAAAAAGGATCCAAAATTTAGGCGCAGCGTTGTTTGTGATCGAAATCTGACGCTCTAGAATCGAACAGGTATGTGAAATGAAACAAATCTGACACCACAAAGTCGATTAACAGAACGAAGCACCCATTGATTCCTTTATTAAGTATGATGTTTGTATTTAGAATTGAGTGTTTCGTAACACTGCACTTTGTGTTCCTGTAAGACCAGGGATGTGTCACTGAAGTAAATACTTGAGGAAGTATCAAGCGTTAGATATCACGCCGAGTCATTTAATATGAGATTCTTTGTTTTTTGAATTCTCTTAACTGAACTTTCATTAGCACCGTATAAGTCTAAAAGGGAAAACATGTCCATTTTCCAAGGCAACAATGCAAGTCGTTCTACAGAAAGACCGTAAACAGCAAACCTCTTTGCTAGAATAGTTTTAAACATTTGCATGGGTTTCCTTACCTTTGAATCCAGCCCATTTCCTAGAAAATACTTCTGAAACTGAAGCTTGGCCTCGACAAATGCCATCTGTTTCGGACCCGAAAGTACCCCATGAATCGCCAAAACATCCCTCTGCCTCACCTATCCACCACCAGTCGAAGTATGTAACTGATTGGGTAGGACAATCGACACAAATCCCGGTGAGTATATGGAAAATGTTTTAACGCTATCTGTGAACGTCAGATTTGGAGTGAAAATAAACTGCTGGGTATTGTACAGTTGGGTGGTTTTCTCCCAGAAATTCAACAGGTCAACTAAAGCTAGGTAAATTTAAGAAGCTCCTCGTACTTCCGGCTTTTAGACTTTAACACCATAAAAAGACCCGTTTTCAGTCATCGTCAATACTGAAACTGGTTGCTTCACTAGTCAGAAAAACCCTTTATAATTAAGTTTACTCCGATTTTTTTCTTATGCCAAGGAGCCAATATCACTCGTCACTCGTTTTCCTGTATTCACGAAAGATTTGAGCTTCCTAGCCGTTAATCCTTGTCTGGAAATACCACCAGTATTTTTTGTTAAGTGAGCAGAGGGCACAAGGTGCCAGCGAACTGTTCTCATTTGCACACTAATCTGGTTCTCACGGCATACTCAACTGAATCCCTGCTGAATCTACCGTTTTTATACTCTCCAACTAAATGTGCTGCACACAAGCTGTTCTATGTTCCAGTTGGTATTCAATATATGGCAGTATATTTTCCAAGAAAAATGCTGCTCATAAGGTGGCCGAAACTCCTCGATAGACCATGACCGGCTTCGTCCTTCTTGAAATCCACCATATAGGCGCAGTCACCGAGTTTCTACCAAACTTGTGTTCTATTCAAATAACTTTATGAATGGGATTTGGCTTGAATCCAGTTAAGTCATTCAGTAAAACAAATCGGCGTGCAATCGAGTGCATTTCGTGGAATTCATTCAACTTGGGTTCAAACAAAACGTAAAGTTGACGGGGACTCGAGGTCTGCGCCTACCCGGTGAGGCCCAAGAAAGGCGAAACCGGCCGTTGGCCATTGGAAAGTCTTCAGCAACCTTATGTATAGTTTCCTTCAAGAAAAGGCACCATGAACCATTCCTGAAGATCGGGGCTTAATTAATTGCTGACTTGAATCCGAAGGTTCCGTAGTCTATATCCTCGGGATCACGACGGGCGTGTCCTCATCTTTGTATACAATGAGAACATAATCCACATTTTCAAGATGGTCTCAGGATTTATTCATACTTGCCAACGTAGGTACATTTGTTTCTGTGACGTTGCCGGCAATTAGTTTTGATCAAACTTGTAATTTAATGTGTATGGCAAGAGTAGTTGCCAAGGTATAGCCTTCTCAAGCGCTGGTACCGATACAGTTTTGCTCACGAAGAGATCTACTGTGAAAGGCAAAGCAAACAAAAACGTTTATGTAAATTGCCTTTTGAACTTGCGATAAAGGTGTCGGATGTGTACTAAAACACCTTTGTGATATAGTGCTTCTTCTTCAGCCCGATAAATCAGTCCTATCAGTTGTGTAATACCGTTAACCATAAACCAGGCCGAAATAACACTCGCCATAATATCTATGTTGTTGATGTGTCCCTCAGGTAAGCGGCCTGAAATATCACCAGTGCGCGCAGTTCGTCAGAGTTAAGTTGTGTATTCCAACAGACATGTTCAGAAATTTGGCCATTGGTTAACTTAATCAGCAAGCAAATGCGGGTTGTTGGTTGCGGGATTCGCAAAATTTACGTTCACATCACTCTCGTTTGACCAGTCGCCCTGAAAAACGAAGCGGCCTCGGGACCACCGAGGGCAGACGAAGAGTGTCTGGGCCTGGCCGGGATTTGAACCCAGGACCACTCACACCCTAAGCGACTATCACACCCCTAGTAGCTTGTCACTTAGTAAAATGACAGTAAACAGTGACTTTGAATATGAGTTACGGATAAAATTTTATACCTGCTGGTAGAATAAATGAAAAAGACTATTGGAACTTGAACACTATTATGCGTGAAGCTGATAATGGTCACTGATTTACGATCACGGTTATATTTATTATTTCGGGCTATAGAATCAGCTGAATCCTCTGCAAGACACATGAAAATTGTAATAGTGCTCCCAAATGAGCCTGTTGAGTTCTGCTCAAACAATCCAGGCTTTCTACCCTTAGAAGACGCTTGTACACCATTCGATCTGGCTTCGGAAAAGCCAGACATACCCACTTGGTCGAAGGTAAACACCAAGCGGGTGTGAATACTCCTTTCAAACCGATGCAGTACCCCACTACGTCGTCCAGGGGCAGTTAGGCTGCATATCTCAGCTACAGCACAGTCAATCACTAGGGGACTGGCTGCGTCTAAAGCAGCCACATCACATCTGGCACGGCCGCAAGTGACTGATCCAGGTGAGTCGAAGCAACCGTACCATGTGACGCCTTTTGACAACACCTAATCTTGTTATCGATTTTTCAGTCTGTTCGATGTATAGACGCCGACAGCCGACGGAATCTCTTGAATATTGGATTCCGAGTGTTGTATTAACTGAAAGCTTGGATTACCTTTGCGCATTAAATTCATTCGAGCAGATTGAGTTTTGTTTCTCTCGTCAACTGCCCACCCCGCTCCTTCTTAATCCAAAAGCGTTCCTGTCTGGGTTGCTTGCTCACAGAAATTCTTAACTTAGTGACTCCTTATCTCAAATACCGTCGACTTTCTTACAGCGCTTTACTGACTGCAATCATTGCGCCAACACTCACAGATAATGATAAGACGAATATTGTGTTGAACTGGACTTTCTAACCATTTGTTGAGATTCCCTATGGGGAAATTTGGATGACGCGTAGGTTCGACATTCCCGAATATCAAAAGGACGGTTCGAAATTCTACGGTACTATTTACGCAGCGGTACACAAATGTACACAACAACCGTCAATTGTCCACGTTCGTAGTGTCAACGCGTGCACAAATCTTTCACTGACCTGCACAGCGCAGTGTCAATATCTGCATACCAAACAACGGCGAGTGGAATGTTAGCTCAACAACGTGGGTTGCAGTCGACCCTTTGGACGACAGTCTGGTGATTCTTACGGACGGTGCGATCACACGGAACTCATGAGAAAACAAGTCAAAGCAAGCTCAGCAAACGGGACACGAATGAGCATGAGCCGAGATTTCCAACAAGGATGAAAAAGCGGCACAGTGCTTCTAGGCGTTTCAGCATAGATTGGCTTAAGCGGTGGGATGAACTATTCAATGAGTTTTGTTTTACTGCTCAATCCCCATATTGGATTTTTATTTGTTTTGTGTACACTTGTGAGAACACATTCCCCACCGTAATATCTGGAGTGTCATGTCCCAGAATCGACCTTCTCTGACCATCATTGCACAAACTGCACCGAAGACGTATGCGGCTCATCATTTCTAAACCTTGATTTGAGTTTCCGGGTTACCTCTCTGCTCGACATTTTTATCCCCCATTCATTATGTAAGTATTTTTTATAATTTTTTTAAACTTTTTCATTACGTCCTCTGTGCACTTCGGACATATACCGGTCAATTATCCTCCCCAACGTCGGACTTTTCAGCGCATTGCCTAGAACGGCGCTGAAAATGAACCAGTGACCGCATTTGTGCCGACCAAGCGGAATGATGGCTAGCAGTAGACAGTCAGATATGTGTGTTTAGGAAAGCTTGCACTCACCACCGATAAGTTAAGGGAACTGAAGAGAGTGAAATTGATATCCATTACAACATTGGTGTCGAAACCAAGCTTGTAGAGAATTTTAGGTTTTTCGTCAATGAATCGTTCGGTGATAACAGATGATGGACCACCAAATCACCCCCGCAGTTTTGGTACTCCGCTGTATTAGTATCTAAAGTCGCAGAACATGTTGCAGTATTTTCCTGTAAACTCGGTTCTCCCCACGAGAGATCAATCCCCAACAGGCCTACTTGAATATTTTCCAGCAGACGTTCTTTATTGGAAGGATCATTCTGTTTGACTCACCGATTTCTCATTCGGCGAAACAGAAGAGTGCTAGGATCGATACACTATGAGTTAGAGAGGGTTGGATTTAACATCTTAACCTCTGGTAGGGCAGAATTCGTAACTAGTTTGTGGGCTTTTTGAATGATACTAATGCTGACGACAGGTTCAAACATTTTTGTAAAATGCCATAACCAATTGTCTGGACAGGTATGCGAATTCCCTAATTCACTCTGGTTTCTTAAAACTTCAGCCTTCATGCACCGGTAAGCCCATTCAAAGTGCCATCCAGGAATCCCAACCGAATATCCGGCCTGAACTCTCTTCTAGTTTGTCGTCAGATTCAAACGTAAGCATTCTTTTACGAATCATCATGTTTTTCTCGTGTACGTGAAACTTGACTTTGATACTTTCGTATATTTTAATAAGTCAGAAGCAGGAAATTGGTTCAACCTCGTTGGATCAGAAAATGACCATTCATTTACTTCCCTGGAAAAAGTCCGAAAACTAAAGAGCAGCTCGAATTGACGCAACCGCTTAAATCCTTTATTTCCAATGTAATCGATATGCAAATCCAGATAAAATGGCTTCAAATTTACCGCACAACAAAAAGCATTTGGTTAGACGACTTCATATATTCGGCTTATGGGTTGCGTCTACACAGCAGATACTGTCCACTCGCACGGAGCCATTTCAGACTCTGGTTTCCAATCCTGAATGAGAATGGACACAACAGCCACAGTTCATCCATAAAGCGATGTTGAACTTTTGAAAGAATGCAGTTTTAGTTAGGGATCCTTCCAACTAATACGTTTAGTGTGTTAGTGAGACATATGTTGTCACTGATCGGGCTCGTCACACTTTAAGTAAACCAACATATTGAAATAATGGACGTAACAGCTCAGAAAACACCACAGATTCTTGCGTTAACAAGCGGAAGTTGCAATCACGAATCGTCTAGCTTTTCCATGCTTTTTTTCCGTGACCACCATATTGTAGCGTGTCAGAAGCTTGGTTGCCGCCAGCTCATGATGTTAAAAACTCCAATAGTTTGAGTTTCGCTGTCTTCTGAGCATAGTTCAATACGGAAAACCAAGCTTTGTTTACTGTTACCTCAGTTGCTGAGGGGAGTTTCGGATTTCTGAACTTTGCGACTAAAGAATGAAACATAAATGTTAAGTGTCT